TTGCACCTACCGGTAAGGTTTTGTCGAAAACTGACGTCAGCGCCTGGGGGTCCGCACCTGGACCGCGCACGCCCCCTTGCGGTTACCGTGGCGACCTGACGCCCCGCGCATCACGTCCTCCTGCAAAAGAAATGCTAAGTGACCGCGAACCGGCGAATTCCACATAGTGGCCGTGGCACTTGGGGGCGCGCATCCTGAGATGCTGGGGCATGCAGATGGGTTGGCGGTCCCAGGTCTTCCGCCTGCCCCGACGCAGGCTCTCTTCATGGGGAGGGCCCCAGATGACGCTGGGGTGGGGGTTCCCAGGCGGGGCAGCTTGGGTCGGCCCCACTTCCTCTCGCCGAGCTTCGGCTTCCCGGTCTGTGGGGATGATGACATCTTCCCTGTTGCAACCAAGACCGCTGCGTCCGGGGCTGGCATCCAGGCAGCCTTGGGGTGCGAAGCAGGCAGAGGCAGGGGCTCTCAGGCTCCCCATCCTGGAGCAGCCAAGGCCTAGGTTGCCAAGTTTCCCAAAGCCCAGGGAACCTTGCAGTAACCACCTGCTGGGAGCCGGGGTCGGAGAGATGGAGGGACACCTTTTATGTCTTCCTGAGTACAGAAAACACGTCAAGTCCTGGATTATCCCAGCCCCCAAAAATAAATAAAAATTTCGGTCCACCGCTTCTACCCACTGCTCGTTAAAATAGTCTTTAGTTATTCTGGGCTACACATGATTCATGACACAAATAATTTCCATAATCATTTTATCCTTTCTTATGTTTCATGAGATAATCTGACCCCTAACACAATCCAGTCTTTGAATTAAGGATTCTGATTATCTGGTTAGGTTCTCAGTAGATTGGGGGGCATATATTTGCATCTCATCAACAGCTTATTTTAAGGTAATTTTATCTGTTTAATCCTCAGCTTGTTCCAAACACAGGGGAGGGGGTGACAGGTTTTTGTACACTAGCGTGTGCCCAGCAGGATACCCAGCTCTGGGGGCACCTCACACAGGGATGGTGTGGTCCACAGTTGCATCTCATTGTATCTCTACTTCCAGAACAGAGGCTCACTGCACAGCACCCTCACAAATATTCCAAAGGGTCAGGAGGGGAAGAGGAGACCGGAGGAAGAAAATCAACGCAAAGTATCAGAATGCAGAGTGAATTGCCCAATGCCGACTTATTACGTTGGTTTTCTGACCAAATCTGCCCCTGTGTTACACGAGGCTCTCCTCCCAGCACATGCAAGCTTGTGGCCTTCCTATCAGGTAAATAAGAGGGCCCCTCCATCCCTGGTCTCGTCTAACCATGTTGTAGACAGAAAGGAGAGGAGCGAGGCTCTGCCCTCCCCATTGCGCAATCACATGGCAATGTAGAGGGCCCCTCCATCCCTGGTCTCGTCTAACCACGTTGTAGACAGAAAGGAGAGGAGCGAGGCTCTGCCCTCCCCATCGCGCAATCACATGGCAATGTGAGTGAAACCCAGGGAGAAACTCTCCTGTCCCTATCGTCCCTCTTCCTGGAGTCTATCCAAGTCCCGAGCAGAGAGCAAGTGGGCACTAAGTGCACACGAACGTGGTGTACTTCATTAGCAACCAGAGAAGCCAATTAAGATGGCGAAGAGAGGGGATGGCACAGTGGCGTAGCAGGTTAAGCCGTTGCCTGCAGTGCCGGCATCCCATTTGGTGCTGGTTGGAGTCCTGGCTGCTTCACTTTAGATCCAGCTCTCTGCTAATGGCCTGGGAAAGCAGCAGAAGATGGTTCAAGTGCTTGGGCCCCTGCACCCACGTGGGAGACCCAGAAGTTTCTGGCTCATGGTGTTGGCCTGGCCTAGCACTGGTTTTTTCGGCCATTTGGGGAGTGAACCAGTGGATGGAAAATCTCTCTCTCTTTCTGTAACTCTGCCTTTCAAATAAATAGATCTTTTAAAAAAATGGCAGTGAGCTGTTAAGCAGTTTGGTAATTTTAAATGTGCATGGTGCAACTGTTCTGATTCTAGAAATGTATGTTAAGAAAATAGGTGAATATGGATTTCTGGTTAGGATACCAGTAGGACTCCTGCATCCCATGTTGGAATGCCTGGGTTTGATTCCTGGCTTTGGCTCCTGGTTCCAGCTTCCTATATGGCAGACTCTGGGGGGCAGTGGTGATGGTTCAAGTAATCGGGTTCCTGCCACTCACATGGGAGACCTGGCTTGGGTTCCAGCTGCCAACTCCAGCCCAGGTCTTGGGTCATTGTAGGCATCTGAGGAGTGAGGCAGCCAATGGGAGTTCTCCTACTCTCTCTGGCTATCTGTTTCTCTGCCTCTCCAATAAGTAAATAAAAATAAGTAAGGAAATAAAAATAAGACAGTTGAATAAATGTGTGAGGATATTTTTGCATCATTGATTATAATAAAAGCCCCTCAGGATGGGGTTGGTTGATAACTTATACAGCACATCAAGGCTGCATAAATACATTATGAATATATATAGAATTAAGGAGCCAGTAGCTTCACGGTTGTCTGTGTGAGTGTGTGTGCGTGTGTGTGTGTGTTAGCGACATTCATGTGCTCCTGGTCTCAACCCGGGCTCTGGGGTTTCTGAGCTCTACGACTTGGACATTCCCTGAGAAAGACCCACGGGGCTTTGTGGAGAGTATGAAGGAGGCGCCCTGCCACGGAAGCAATGTGCCTCTTGAGTTCTGCTCGGAGAATGTGGACCTTCTGTGGGTCCTGGTTCTTCCGGAAGGCAGGAGGTGCGTGGTGCCTGCCCTCCCTCTCTGGGTTATCTGAATTCCTGAATGCCCTGGCAGTGAGGTGAAAAGCAAAATATTTCTGCCCTGCAGCGCACATGGGCAGGACATCTGAGCAGCAGGTGGTCGCTGCTGTTGGGGCAACCAGCCTCCGGCCTCCCTTCCCTGCAATAGTGCCAGTTTCCCTTTGGGCGACCACTGTTAACACACTGCCTCCCCACGTGACTCAGGTGAGCCTGGCTTGACCCGGTGCTGGGGGCAGCTGCTTCAGAGCCAGTCCGCAGGACTTCTGCTAGCAATTCCAGGAAGAGTCTTCCTCCCTCAAGGGGGCAGCGGGCAAAGCTGGGACCACAGCTGTCTCTGTAGCAGGTTTGGAACAAAGGTATGTGGGGGCTGTGTGGAGCCCTGAGGGACAGTGCTGGAGTCCTGTCTTAGCAGCAGCTGAACTCGGGCCAGGACAGACCAGGAGAGGGAGGGAATTCTGGGTGCTGGGAAGGGGGTCATGTGGAGGGAGCTGCCTTGGAGGACAGAGGTGACCGGCTCCCAGGTTTACCGAGATAGGAAGGCCAAGGTGGAGCCAAGCAGGGAGGAGGGAGATCAGTGTAGCTGGGGCCGATGGTAAAGGCAGAAAGGGAAGAGATGATGTGGGAGAAAAGAAGACCAATATGGATTTCATTGTAAAAGCCTTTAAAAAATGTTTTGCTGTAATTTATTTTCATTTTTTGTTTGAGAGACAGAGATAGACACAGAGAGAATTTCCATCTGTTAGTTCATTATCCAAATATAGGCAACCCCTGGAGCTGGGCCAGACCCAATCCAGGTCTTCCATGCAGTTGGCAGGGACCCAAGTACTCGAGCCGTTTTCTACTGCTCCCTAGAGTGTACGTTAGCAGGAAGCTGGAATTGGAAGCAGAGCCAGGACTTGAACCCAGGCACTCTGATATGGGATGTGGATGTCCTGAGCAGTGATTTTTTTCCTAAGATTATTTATTTGAAAGAGCTACAGAAAGGGGGGGGGGGGAGAGCTCTTTCTGCCACTGGTTCACTCCCAGATGACTGCAATGGCCAGGCCTGGGCCAGGCTGAAGCCAGGAGCCAGGAGCCAGACACTTTGTCCAGATCCACATGGGTGGTGGATCTCAAACACTTGGGCCATCCTCCGCTGATTTTCCAGGCCATTAGCAGGGAGCTGGATTAGAAATGGAGCAGCCAAGATCAAACTGGCACCTAAATGGGATGCTTTACCCGCTACACCCCGATGCCAGCTCCCTGAGCAAGGTCTTATCTGTGGCCTTTTGATTAGAAGCTGTCACAGAGAGTTTTACCCAGAAGTCAGTGGTCTGATTTGCCTCTTTGGTGGATCATTATGGATCCTGGGAAGAGAAATGAGTATTGTCTATAAGCATAAGCGTGGAAGTGGGAAAAGCCCTCAGGAAACTCAGTGGAGCAGGGGGAGGCAGCCTGGACGAGGGAGAAGGCGACAGAGAGGGTGGAGGTGGTGGACACTAGGGCAGGAGAGGGAAGGCGGAGGTGGGAATTTTGACTGCTCCACCCCTCCGATCCTCAGCTGCGTCTTGCAAATAGAGGTGGTACCCTCTTCACCAAGATCAGTCTGACCAGGGTCGTGCTTAGGAACATTGCTTTTGGTCAGTTTGGGGTTTGAATCTCAGGTCTGGCAGGTATCAGCTGTGTGACCCTGTCCAAGTCCATTAATGACCGACTTGAGACTTACTGAGCGCGCTTGCTATGTGCTAACCAACAGAATCCCCCCTTAGAGGAGGACATACTCATTATTTTAGCTCATCAGAGAAGAAACCATACCGTGCAGAAAGCGAGTCATTTGTCGAAGTCCCAGAAGTAAATGGCAACTCAGGATTTCTCTGTCACGTTAGGCTAAAATTTCTGCACCTAAAACGCGGACAATACTGATGCTTCCCTGTGTGGTTGGGAGGTACCCGGCACGTGGCAGGTGCTTATGAAGTTATTATTAAAGTTATCATGATATTTCTGTGTTTTCTCGAGTTTTAGCATGGAGCAGGCGTTGGACAAAGCGTTTGGATTTAGAAGCAAAAAAAAAAAAAAAGATCTCTTTGGTCTAAGAGGGGAAAACTTGCAGCCTCGGGTCTCTGCGGTTACTCGGGAGTGACCAGAGGGGCGGGGTCAAGACCCGAGGGCCTGGGTTGAGGGGCGGGGCCATGTCGCCAGAACTGAAGCTAGGGGCGGGGCCCAAATGGAAGGGGCGGGGCGAGGGCCGGAGCGCATGCTCGGTACGAGCCTCACCACGGCCGCCGCTGCTACCGCCCACTCGGGGCTGGCCAGCTGCTGGCGGCCGGGGCTCAGAGAGGGCCCGGCAGGGCAAGCGCACGGCCATGGCCCCGTGGCTGCAGCTCTGCTCCGTCTTCTTCACTGTCAACGCCTGCCTCAACGGCTCGCAGCTGGCCGTGGCCGCGGGCGGCTCCGGCCGCACTCGGGGCGCAGACACCTGTGGCTGGAGGGTAAGGCGCGCGCGGCGGGTTTCACCCGAGTTTGGCGCGGGGCGCGCCGCGAGGCAGGGGCGCAGTGCACACAGGTGCTGGCGGGCGGGCGCGCCCTACTTGCTGCCCGGGAGCTGCAGCTGGGCCGGGGTCTCCGACCTCTTCGCTCCCATCCGCCCGGCTTCCCCATCTGGGTCGCGCGTCCGCAGGCGCCGGCCGGGAGCAGAGGGGCCGCCCGACCCCCGGCTTTGTGTTGCGGGAGACGCGCGGCTGCCGGCCGGGGTCCGATTCCGGGGGCGGTGGGCCCCGCAGGGGAGTGCCCCCCACCCTTTGTTCGCGGCCCCGCGGACTGCGCTTCCCAGGCTGCATCCTTGAGGCGCCCGGACGCGGGACTCTTTGGCGTGGGAGGAGTGGGGTCTCCCCGGTGCTACTAACACCAGTGTGCAGAGGCCCGGGCCGGCCGGGGAGCAGACCCGGAGCGCGGGGAAGGATGCGCCCCCGCTCGCGATCGCTTTGTTCCATCTCGGCTGCGGCCGTCACATCACTCCCACTCCACTCCGGACTCCCGACTTGCTGAGAAACTCTTGCTTCCCCGCCCAGCCTTTCTTAGGTCTCACGGGTGCTCCCCAACTTTCCCTGCTCTCAAAACTCGAGTTGCGATTACTTTTCGTGTCTAGGGAGCGGCCGGCGTGAGTTTGTCACCTCCGTCAGGTGCCCGGGAGGAGCGTGGAGATATGTCCAGACTTATCCGGGCGCTTGGAGAGGTCTCTCCAGGACCCGGCGCTTGGGGGCCCCAGGAGCTGTGCGCGCTGACGAGGCCAGCCCACTGCCTCCTCTCGGGATCCCCGCCAGCGCGTGTGGACTTGGGGGGAATCCTCCCGTCCTCCCCCGCCCCGTGCCTCCCACCGAAGGCCAGGTCGGCGTGGCTGGGGACACTCAAGACTAACTTTGTGGAGAGAAGGAGGGCTTTGTGCTCAGCAGCCGGGGACGTGACCGGGGCTCTGCCGGACCTGGGCAGCCGCTACCCTCAGTTTCTTCATCTGGAAAATGGGGCTTTCCTAGTTTCTTCGTCATTGCTGCCAAGGGATGGGTATTTGGTAGTTGGTTTAGGCCAAGGTTGACCCCGCTCTAAAGAGAGGCGCCAAACATGACCCGGATGGACCTAGGACGGGACGCACCTTGGGCTGGGGCCTCCACTCGTGGTGCAGAGAAGCAGTGCAGACAGTCCAGCAGAAGCCAGGCAGCTGGGGCGTCATCAGACCCAGCAGCGCCCTCTGGTCAGCCATACCTGCCCCTGTCCCCCAAGAGTGAATATTCCCTTTGGCTCCCTGGCCCCTTGCCAGTTGAGTAAAACATTACATTTTATTACTCTGTTCCAGCAAGTAAAACATCACAGTTTTGCTTTTTTTTTTTTTTAATTAACAAACAATAGATAGCAAGCTTCCTTAGGACTTTGTCATGTTGACTGATTCTGCTAAAATTGTGGCCCTAATTGATGCTGGCTTTCACCTGTCAGCAGCATCCCAGGCAGATCTGTCCAGGATGCTGGTTTCTCTCTGGTGCTGTCTCGCCCCAGTGCACAAAGCTGGTGACGTGGCCGTGCTGTGAAGGAGCTGCGTGGTTTTGTTCTCTCTGCCTGTGGACTGTGTCCCCTCCCTCAGACCTCATCCCCTCAGAATTTAACTGTGGCCCCTGTCCCAGTCCACTCCCATGCGTGCTGACCTCTTTTTCCCGTCACAGCCCATGGCTGACGGTGACCTGCTCACCAGCCTTGGTCCCACCAGTCCTCTCTTTGGGTCATCTTCAGCTCCTTCCTGGATGACCATGGAGACGTCCCAGCTGTGTCCCAGGTTCCAGGCTCTTCCCAGCCTGGTGCTTGGCTCCTTGCCTGCTGGCACCGCCTGCTGGTGCATCTCATGGACTCAGCTCACCCATCTGTTTTGCACACCCCCCCTTTCCAGCCTCAGCACTCCCACCTGGCTCCCTAATTCCTGATGCCCTTAGTGCAAGGCATACCCCCCCCCCAAAAAAAAGCCCATCTGCTGTGTCCAAGATTCAGCTCAGATGCTGCCTCTTTGGGGAAGCCCTCCCAGAATGCCATGCCCTTTGCTTCGCATTCTCACGCAGGTCCTTGCACCTGGATTTTCAGCAGGCTGCACTGTGAGCATTTATTCACTCCCATCTTTAGGCTGTTGTATGTCTGGCTGGGCGCTGAGCCTCATCGTGGTGGCCTGAGCCTGGAGCCCTGTAAATCTCAGCTGAACCCCATTGGGCCCTGCCGTCTTCCTGCGCAGTGCTGTAGTGAGAGCTGGTGAGGTGTGAGGGAGAGCAGAGCACTGCACTCCAGTTGTCCATCTTTGAGCAACAGGCCTTTGCACATGCTTTTCCTGCCTTTGTTTCTTTTCTGTGCACCTTCCCTGCCCCCACCTCCCCAGAAGGTGCGTGTCAGGGAGCTGTGTACCGCGACGTGGGTATTGATGCATGTCCGGGTCCACTACCAGTTAGTAGGTTCTCCGTTCACAGATGTTGGCCTCAACTCTGAGGTTGTGTGCACTGTAGTCAGGGCTGCTGGGAGCATACAGGGATCCATCATACAAACAAACTCGACGCAAACAGGAGAGGGCTGGCTGTGGGTCTGGGTTTCATCCAGAACCCGAGAGGAAGGTAGCCGGGTGCGGATGAGAGCCGTGAAGGAGGGACAGGATCTGGCTGTGGAGAGAAGCTGAACCAGTGACCCCCTGCTCTCCAGGGAGCATCAGTTCAGGACCCCTTGCCCCTGCAGGGCTGTGTACTTTCCCAGGACGTGCGAGGTGACGACAGCCAGCCAGCCAGCCCTCGGCATCTCTGCTAACAGACGCTTGGGGCTGCTCTCAGAGGAGCGGGGAGCTGGCCTGGTTTGAGTGGTCAGATTTCACAACCTCCCCATTATTAGCAGGGCAATTAAGAGCTGATACCATCTTGAACACAGCTCAGTGTTTTGGAAATGAGTTGTGGGCACACTTCCGCAACCACCACTTAGAAAAAGCCTGTGCTGGCCCTTGCCAGATGAAGTTGCTCTTTGAGTAGCAAATAATGCTCCTGGAGAAGTAACAATTTGTAAAACCTGCAGGGGTGGGGGGCATGCTGCCTGTTAGCTCTTGCAGCGGTTTCCGGGGTGATGGGAAATTTGCTTGTGTGGGTAGCTGCTTCTGAGGTCCCCCCCCCCCAGCTGGATGAGAAGCCTATTTATGGAACAAGACCTTAGGAATTCACTCCCACAGGTTTTTATTTAGTGGCATTTCCTGTGTGGGGGAAGGAGGGGGGCATTTCTTACCTCCTTCTCTATATGGGGTACATCTTCTGTGGTCTGGTGTCCCCGAAGCACAGTTTTTACTAGTCCCCCCCACACCCCCAGGCTGCTCCCTTAGGAATTCAGGAAGCCAGGATGCTGGCATGGCCTTGACAGTGATGTGCAAGTTTCCCATTTAAGGCATCCTTCATCTCGAAAGGTAGGAAGGAATAGGGTGGTACTTGGACAAAAAGAAGTTCCAGCTGGTTAAAATTTAGGTTCCTGATAAAAGTCCAATCCAAGAATTCTCCTTGGCTGCGCGCCCAGCCGTGTTTATTTGATTCGGAATTGGATGCGTTTTCATTCACTTGCAGCTCATGGCTCCCAAGCCCACATCTGGTGTGTCTGTCTCGTGGACATATCGTCCATGTTGCAGATGCTGTCATGGCCCTCACAGGATCATGGTTAAAAATTATTCAGCCCGGTCGACACATTTTTCAGAGAGACGTTTTTATAAGAATTGCAGTGCTTTCTCGCAGCCTGTTTTGCCTCGTTAATTGGGAACCTTCCTGGCTGGTGTCCATCTTTCTCTTCTCTCCCCAGCCTGGCCAGCTGGCCAGCCGGCCGCTGGCGAGCCCCTGCAGCGCCTGGGGCATTGTGCTGGTTATTGACTGGAGGACACAGCTGAGCGAGCAGACCGGCAGTGCCCCCTCTGCGCCCCTCGCCCAGCCCCACTTTTGTACCTTTCCCTTGTAAGTATGAATGGCTTCTTGAGCTTGTTAAAATGCAGATTCCAGGCCAGCGGGCCCTGGGGCGGAAGTGGGGTGGAACCCTGGAATTGGCATTTGAGCAAGCTCCCCACAGCTTCTGATGTCTTAGGAGACCGGGCTTCCACCATCCAGAGAAGGGGGCGAGAAGGCTCGTCTACACAGTCGAAATCAGGGTTTTGTTTTAAGCTGGCTCACTGGACTTGGAGAGGAATGTGGAGATTTTGTCAGATCTCTGGGCAGTTGCAGGAGTCAGGCTGGCTGAGAGGGTGCTGGGGAGCCAGCTAGGCGGGACACCCTGGCCTGGAGCTGAGGAGGGGGCCTGCAGTGAGGAGGCCTTGACCCTTGCTCTGGCTTCCTCCCCTGAACAGCTGGGCTTGTCTAGCAACCCGGCTCAGGAAGGAGCCCGACAGGCTCGAAATCAGATTCTGGGCTGATCAAACCTCAGCGTCCCTACAAAGGGAAGAACTGCTAATGCTGGTTGAAGTCTTTGGTTTAAGTTGCGTACTTTTCATGCTTCATTTGGCCTAAAATGTGTGGGTTCGTTTTTTGTTCAAGCTTTCAAGCCCTCTTTCCTCTTCCATCCCTGAGGTTTTCCCATATTGTGCCCTGGCATTTGTCTACTGCTGGGCCACCCCATCCACAGTTGTATTGTCCTCTTTCATTCCCCACTGCCTCTTGTGCCTGCCTATGATGGATGGGGTTTCCTGGCTTCTGGAAGCTCGGGTTCCCTGCCCTTGGTTTGTAAGAGCACGGAGTGGGATGGGGGCTCAGAAGCTTGATGGGCTGGGCCAGGGGGCAGCATCGTTGGAGCAGACCTCTCTCCTGGCAGGCAGACCTTTTCTGTCTCCCACCTCCCCCCAGATTTGGAGAGTGTCCTGCCCTCAGCAAGCCCAGGACCTTACCTTCTGTGCCGGTGTCCCAGGCCTCATCTCCAGCCAGTGGGAGGCATTGTCCTCCTGGGCTGTGTTTGTCTTGGCTGCTGG